ACACATGAACAACAGACTAGGGTCTATTTTTACCCGTATAGTGACGATATCATATTCGGAAGGCTTGTCAAATCCAGTGCCGGTGTGTGGGACACCATCGGAGTCCAGTTTGCAAGGTCAGGTCATAGAACTCAAAAATATATAGCTAGAAAACAAAAAAAAAAGACAGGAGATAAAAAGCGCTTATGCCAATGGTTTTCTCCTTGAACTCAAGCCAGCACAGCTAGGAAATGACTAAGAAACGTAAAAAATGAGAGAAAGGGGCTGTGTATATGGTTTACTCCTGATATACAAGCTGGTACAGAAGCCCTCAGGTAATTAGCCTCTGGTATTCAGACCACCAACTCGGAGAAAACAAAGAAATAAATAAGAAAGAGATGCCTCTACTCAGAGAAACCAATGGAATGCCTTTGAAGACATAGCTAAGAATACAAGAAAAAAATATTTAAAGGATTGTAGACGGGCGACGGGCGACAAAAAGGTGAGAGTTGACAGTGATAGGCACGACGACGACAATATTGCAATTGTACTGTTTATAGAGTACGTTAAGTTTTCAAGAGACCAATTGTTAACGAGAAAGAACATTATCGCTTATTTCATGTCAATCGACTTCAGAGACAAGACTTCAATTTGTAAATAATTAAAGGACTTCCAATAATTGATAATAATTAAATGATGCTTCAGAATCCCAGGATTGGTACCATAATACAGACGAAATTAGATAACGTTCGATGAATCTTTTCACTATTTGTAAAATATCAAGCTGTAGATATACTTTCTATCATGTACGTTATTTATTGCTTGAAACGACTAAGAGATACCTTGATAAAATTTAAAATCGTGACGGTAAGTTTTGCCAAGATAGGAGATGGGCTCGACGAACTACATTTGTTACCTATAGAATATGCGTTAAGAGATGACTGGAATCAAGACGACTTAAGACTGACCGTATGTACCGGGGAGGTTACTATTTCTCTTTATGATGAGGAATTACTAGTGAAGCACACGACTCTCTCATTGGGGGATATAAAGGGATAGCAAAAACCTATAATAGAATATGCGAAAAATATTATTGGGATGGAATGAAGGAAGATGTATCTGAGTACGTACAAACATGCATAGAGTGCCAAAGAAAGAAATTAGTTCGCGTAAAAACAAAGCTCCTTATGACTATCACGATCACTTCTGAGGGAGACTTTAAAGTGATTGAAATAGACATAGTAGGTAGACTCTCTATCACCACTGTCAGAAATCAATATATATTAACTACCCAATGTAACTTGACTAAATATTCCAACGCCCTCTCTTTGCCCGACGCAACAGCCAAAACAGTAGCTAATCACTTTACCTAAAAATTTATTTACCGATTTGGCAACCCAAAAGTTATAAAAATCTATCTAGAATCTAACGTTTAGAGTCAATTAACACGTTTAAAAAAACTTTATAAAATCAACCAATCAAAGTCAGCTGCTTTTTGACCATAGTCTCAATTGAAAGAAGCCATCATTCATTGCTAGAGTACTTGAAAATGTACACAAATTGAAGCGATTGGGATGCATGGCTAAAATTCAAGCTATTTTCTTACAATACCTCTATTTATTCTAGCCACAGGTTTACTTCTCACAAGCTAATATTCGGACATAAGGCACGGCTCCCTTCGGAATTTGAAGGAAAAATAAAAGAAAAAGATTAACCCGGAATACCTTGATGAATTGTTGGGTAATCTAAACTGTACACAACACACGGTCAGAGAAGAACTCATAAAAACCAAGGAAAGATCAAAGATGTATTATGATAAAAAAGCGAACGTAAACCAGTGGACAGTGGGTGTTTGGGTACCCAAGTAGTCACGCTCGCAACTATCACATACGATCCCACACTTATTCCTCGTCCATATTTAATACCCAAAATATAATTTTATATAGAAAACTAAGAAAAACCATCCTGTAAAATAGGTTATCCTTGTTGTCAACCTTCGAACGTGTAACATCGTTTGTGTATTTCTCACAAACGTGCGTATTTTGTATTTTTAGCTTTAGCCTAATGAGGCTGGTACACCGGCCAGTTAAAAATTCCTTTAATATACATCAATAAGAAAAATATAATACTGTATTGTATTTGTTTTTCATATTCACCTCTAACAGATTGCTGTTTTCCGTTTCTACATATCGACCATTGATAATGAAAGGCGCTCAAAATATTGATTTTCTTCATACCTTGAGTCTACGATCTGAAAATAACTCGGACGTCAGACTGCACTTCTTCCAACACATCACACGGGAGTATGGGTCATCGGCCCCGAACGTTTTAAAACGTTGGAAGGACCTTCACGCGAATTTTAGATGGGAACAAGAAACTTCACATTGAGTGTCTAAGATATTGCCGTAAATCTTTAATTTAAAGTGAGATGGACAAAACTCAAAAAGAGAATACGAACACATAATCCGATGTCAAACCAATGCTGCAGGTGGGATACTGAATCAGCTGTTTAAGTGCTCAGAAAGAAATAGATAAAACAGTAATTTCAAACTTGAAATAATGTATTGCTCCATTGTACTCAGAAGTGATTAAAGAGTTAGTAGGGCTTATTAAGAAAACAAAAATGCTGACACGACTGAGGAACCTTATAATTTATATTTAAATATTTTAAATTGTATTGAATCTATAAATATNTTTTTTTTTTTTTATTTGTCAGGTATATGATGGGAGTTCAGTAATCCCCTAAGACAGGTGAATAGGCGATTTTCTATTTCTCCGAAGAACAACAATCAGCTCAGTGATCAACGGAGTAGTCTCGCAAATAATATTCCTGAAAGAATCATTTTTTTTCTCGATCAAAACATTCAGATATTTTACATAGAGTTTTTACTGAGAAAATAATATGTGCCACTAAAGAAATAGTTGCAAATAGTAAAAATGAAGTAATAAAAAAACTCCCAGATTTTGTAGCTATTCAAACGAAAAATCAAATGAGATTCTAAAAATATCTAACTTGTACTCTCAAAAATATTATAATAAATATATTAGCATAGCATGCATACTGGTTTGATATATCTAATTTTAGTATTCTCCGTCTTTGGCTTATCCAAGATACATTTTGTGGAGCACCCTCATGTATTGATACGTAACGTAAAATATATTCAAGTTATCATAGTACTTAAAAATTTTGCGTTCATTCTTGACACTTCTTAGAATAAAACAAATTTAAATTAGATGGTTGAAAACTTAAACAGGACCGTAGGTTGACGAAATTTTTGAATCGGATCCTAATTACCTGTAAAATTTAAAAAAATGTGTGATAGCGCTGAAAAGTAGCGTACCATTCCAACGATATAAAATATTTGTTGCCCTAGAAAAGTCTTAGTTTGTTACGTTATAATATATGTGAAGAGCCAATTGTTAAGGCTGTAAATATTTACAGCTGATAAAAAATATACAATTTTTCGAGAAACTCGATACACAATAATCATTGGTATGTTACTGGCACATTCGTTGGCTGGCACTGAAATTAACAGTCCTTGAAAAATATCAGCAGTTAATGTCACATAAGGCTATAATTCAGGTTTTAGTTTTGAGCTTTTTTAAGATCTTCTTATATGGAAAATATTATTTACAAAGTTATAATTTTATTGCCATACCGTGTTCCAAACCAACATCAGGTGTTAAGCAGTATGCACCAAAATTAAAAATCCTCTCATGGGGCGCATAATAAAGTAATAATAACAATAATAGTAATGATAATGATAGTTATAAAAACAAAATAATATAAAAACGATACCATAACAGATGACTCTAGTAATATCAATAAATATAAAAGGCTATACAAAAGCTTTCTTATTATTACAAATATTTTGGATCTTGTGGGGATGATATTTTATTTGTTTCAAAACAAATTATCAATGCATACGTAAGCTTTGACTCAATCACCTTCCTGCACACGCTTTCCAGAAAGGCCACAAGCCTTCATGCAAGCTTTGACTCATTTATCTTCCTGCACGTCGCTAGCCCTCGCTCTGACTCACTTTCATTCTCTCCACTATACCCACATCCCTAGAACCTGCTCACAAGTACACGACCCAAGGTATTGCGAGTGATCCGTGAACTCACCTGGACTCATCGTCTAAGGAGGGGACAACCACCTGCCGATTCTTCTGCGTCATTTCAACCGGTAGCACGAGAAGGTCCGCAGTAAGAACAACACTAGCCTACCAATCTATGATACCCGAGACTTTACCGCAAAAACACTCTCAGCTTTTGCCGTCCACGAGAGAAAGTCTTCAATTATCGTTGTCAGCTGAGTTTTATTTAAGTGTGCAAAAGGTCGTCAACGTCAGATCAATGGTACGTAGAATCTATACAGGGAGATCCCCCTCTTGATAATTTTAATGACATTATAATTGTTGCGAAGCAATAATTGTAATACGTTCGCCTACCAATTTTTTATTACAGTTTTCATCTCGAAAGCTACTCTTACACGAAGAGAGTAGCCGTGGAAGGCCGTGTCACGACCGGTCGAATAAGGGCCGGACGGGGGCACCTTTTTCCTTTCACCGAAGCTAGCTCGAAAAAGAGGGGAGTTACGGAACGTGAGAACAAAAGTGGTTCTCTCGTAGACGGTTGGCCAGGAGTTAGAGTTCGAGATGAAACTTTCATTTTGAAATCAAGAGAAAATCATAATTCTCTTATTATAATTTGTCCTCGTTTATAATTTGAATATGTAGGAGAACGTAAATTTGAATATCATAATTCCGTTGTCATGTCAACGAAAGTTAATTATGTTTTATCTTTTTGCGTTGCGAATGACTGCTTTTTTTTTTTGTTTTGTAGTCCAGTCTTGAATTGGCTTTCGAGCTTGAGCTGTCAATTTTTCAAAGTTTTTCATCTGTTAAAAATAAAACTATTATCTCTTCAAAAAAAAAAAAATCGTTGTCACCTTTTTGATTTTAAGCTTTTTTTTGAGTCGAAACATTTTTGGTGCGAGGGCCGGGAATCGAATTACGATGAGAACAAGATTAAATCCACCATTAGACGAACCTCCAGAAAAACGGTTACGTCTTGGAGAAAACCATTTTCCGGATCTGGACTCGGAAGACGATTTCTTCATCAACCCAAACAGATCCGAAATAAGACCATTCCCGAGATTCGCTCACCTTCGAGATGGAGAAGATGCGCGAGAAACACAGTCGTCGGAAGAATCGGAAGTCGAAGGAGAAGATAACCTCCAAGTGGTGCGGCGACATCGTGAATCTGAGGCAGCGGCGAACGAGGGTGCAGAGCTTGCAGTTTTACTAGCCGTGCCAGACTTCTTAGAAAATCGTGCTCCAGTTGACGCAGTAGAAGAAGTGGAGCTCGAAGTTCCACAACCACCAGAAGTAACTCAAAATCGAGCGCCGCCTCGTCGCCGCGCTGCTGCCCTGCCACAGCTGGGACTTGCTCCTGCAGCCCCTGCACCCCCTGCGGTAGCTCAAAATCGAGCGCCGCCTCGTCGCCGCGCTGCTGCCCTGCCACAGCTGGGACTTGCTCCTGCAGCCCCTGCACCCCCTGCGGTAGCTCAAAATCGAGCGCCGCCTCGTCGCCGCGCTGCTGTCCCGTCACAGCTGGGACTTGCACCTGCAGCCCCTGCATCCCCATGCAGTAGCTCGTAATCGAGCGCCGCGCCGTCGCCACGCTGCTGCCCCGCTACAGCTGGAGCTTGCGCCACCTCCTGCAGCAGCGGTAGCTCGCATTCGAGCGCCGCGTCGTCGACCAGCAGTGGAAGCCGTTGAGCTTGCAGTTCCGCCACCTCCTGCAGCAGCGGTAGCTCGCATTCGAGCGCCGCGTCGTCAACCAACAGCAGAAGCCGTCGAGATCGCGGTTCCACCATCTCCTGCAGCAGCGGTAGCTCGCATTCGAGCGCCGCGTCGTCAACCAACAGCAGAAGCCGTCGAGATCGCGGTTCCACCATCTCCTGCAGCAGCGGTAGCTCGCATTCGAGCGCCGCGTCGTCAACCAACAGCAGAAGCCGTCGAGATCGCGGTTCCACCATCTCCTGCAGCAGCGGTAGCTCNTTAGAAATGCGTACAAAAGAAGAGAAAAACAAACCTTTGTGTTTCAAATGCAAAAAAAGAAATCATTGTCTAAGCGAATGCAGAGAGTATTTTAAAGACTCGTTGGTTGAGCGATGGAAAATCGCTAAGACAAACAATTTGTGTTTCAATTGTTTAAACAAAGGTCATTTGAGACAGGACTGCAAAAAGAATAATTGTAAAAGATGCGGTAGGAATCATCATGAGTTATTACATCGAAACCATTTAGACACAAATAATATCGTTTTGCAAACATCCAAAAATACCAACGTAGAGTCTTCATCGAGAAACAACAAACCTTTATGACTTGAATCAGATAATTATATTAATAATGTACTGTCAAACAATTCGAGATCTCAAGTATTTTTAAAAATACTTCCTATGCGAATAAAAGGTGAAAGAAGTTTAACAAAAATTTGATGTTTTTCTCGATGAAGGCTCTACAGTCTCAATAATACACTCTGATGTAGTAAAAAAAATTGGCGCGAAAATTTCGCAATTAAATTTAATTTTGAAAAGCCTTGGGGGCTTAACTTCATCTAACAAAAAAGTAAATCTTAAATTAAAAGTTGAAACTAATGAATACTTGTTAAAAAATGTGCTCGTCGTACACGAACTTCCGTTTTCTGCTCAAGAGATTGATAAAAAATTATCTTTATTATGTTTAGAGCAAACCGGAATATACATACCCCCTTGTAGATTAACTCCAATGATGCTAATAGGTCAAGATTACATCAATCTTATAATTTCGCGAGAGATAAAAGAGATTCAGAAAGATTTCTTTTTTGTCAGTAATTGTTTATTGGGGTGGGCTGTTCATGGACATTATAATGCTAATTTTGAAAAGAAAAATATCTGCACATCAGTAAATGCTGTAAACGAAGTTTTTAGTTCAGAAAATTTAAACTATTATAATGATAAAAGCAATTATGATAACAATTTAGAAAAACTTGTACGTTTTTATTTTGATTTAGATAGTATTGGTGTGGTCGAAAGACATTCTAGCAATTTCGAAAATGATCAAGCGATAAAAATTTTAAATCAAACAAGTCAATACGTTGATAGTTCCTGGGAGATCGGTCTCTTATGGAAATGGGAGGATGAATTATTTTCAGACGGTAGATTGACTGCACTTCGTCGGTTATCACTTCTCGAAAAGCGATTGGATAAAGATCCCAATTACGCACAATTATACTACAAAGAAATGGAACGATTATTCGAAAATAAATTTGCGATTGAAGCCAGT